TTTTCTTTTCCACTTATGGATTGGCTGCATTTTTCAGGGCTGTCTGCTGGGGTAACCACACATAAATGTCTGTTTTTGTAATGTTAAGTGTCCTGTTGTGATTTGGCGCCATATAAATAAAATTGAATTGACAGCTGAATTGCATTGAATGGAATTGTAGCAACTGGAGAGTCTCCTGATACCAGTCTGGATGATACAAAAACCCTGACCCAATTTGATTTGACATTCTTGATAATACAGTCTCACTGCCAACAATACAGCTTTAACACATGTATATGTGAATAATACATGAATAGAGATATTAAATTCGTGGTGATTGGTTTATATCTCGCGCCCTTTAACCAGACAGCAGGAGCTTGGTGTGCGTGTCTCACCTTTAGTTGTTAACATGGATGTGAGTTCACTAAACAAAAGCTTATAAACGTGTAAAAACGCTGTGTGTGATAACTGTGTGCAGACTGGTTGAGGAGGTGAAGCAGAAGTGTGCTGGCGTGCAGCTACAGAACGAGGACGTGTACATGGCCACCACATTCCAGGACTTCATCCAGATGTTTGTCCGCAAGCTGCGAGGAGAGGACCAGGAGGAGGAGCTCGTCGTTGATTATGTGAGTCTAAATCCGAGCTAAAGCGAAATCAATCAAGTAACGAGGGGAGATCCCGTCACTCAAACCCAGTCGGGGTTTTCTCCATTGTTACCTAGGCAACCAAAGACGTAAACAACATGACAGTGAAAATGCCATATCAGTGTTTCATCAACAGCAAGTTTGAGGATTCAGAAAATGGAAAGACCTATGATAGCATCAGCCCCACTGATGGATCCGTGAGTCACGTGACCACACTCACTATGCTCAACGCACAGACAGTTTCCACGCCATGTTCACTGGACTATGTTTGACGATCTCAACCTTCAACCAGGTGATCTGTAAGGTGTCTTATGCCTCAGTGGGTGATGTGGACAGAGCTGTGGCTGCTGCCAAAGAAGCTTACGAAAATGGGCCCTGGGGCAGGATGAACCCCAGAGACAGAGGAAGTCTTCTTTACAGGTGAGCACCTCCCTCTAGAGGATTACTTTGGGGGATGCAGAAAAATCAGAACTGTGGGGGGGAGAGAATCTGATCTAGGTTATCATATTAAGATTTGGGACACATCGTCAGTAGTGGACCTTGGATTCATCGGGTGTTTCGGCCATTATCACTAGTCACCCTCATCCAAGGAGGGGCGCCCAATCTGGCTTCTCACACCTCCCCGCCGGATCGGGCTGTACGCTCTACCTCCCCACTGCCTCCCAGAGAAGGGGAGAAGAGCGGAGTATTTCTTTTCTCTCGCGGTTAGCTGACTGCCTTAGCTGTCCAAGTGATGTCAGCCCTTTTTAACCATAGCCAGTGACTGGTCCTCTGAGCAGTGTTAGCTAGTTCTCTGATAGCCTGTCCTCTGATCCCAATCTCTCTGAGCAGCTTTGCTGTTGTACTGGCAGCAAAGCCCCTGCACCCCACTTCCACGGGTGCACCTTGATCTTCCAGCCTCTGCCTCAGCTGCCAAGTTGGCATACCGCAGCTTCTTACGCTCAAACGCTTCCTCCCACGGTACCGTCAGCTCAATGACGTACGCGAGTTTTCAGGAGATAGACCAAAGGACGAGATCTGGTCGCAAAATTGTTGTTACGATCTCTGTGGGAAAAATTAGCCTCTGATCCAAGTCCACTTGCATCTGCCAATCCCTGGCAACCTTCAGCAGGCCCAGGTCTGGGTTGAGGGGGTTGTCCTCGGCTTGGATCCTGGATAAATGTTGATGAAAACTGACGGTCCTCTTGGTCCGTGAAAGGTTGAGCGTTGATGGATTTTCTTTTGCGCTCAACTTACTCAGCTAGACACCCGAGAACCTGCTTGTGTCTCCATGTGTGTCTGCCCGGAGTAAGGCTAGTCCTACAACCAACCAAGATGTGCTTGAGTGT